AATGGGTTTGTGTTAATGGAGATTAATGGATTAATGGTTTGTGGGATTAATGGGATTAATGGGTCTGTGGGGTTAATGGGTCTGTGGGATTAATGGGTTTGTGGGATTAATGAGTCTGTCGGATTAATGGGTTTGTGGGATTAATGAGTCTGTGGGATTAATGGGTTTGTGGGATTAATGGGTTTGTGGGATTAATGGTCTGTGGGATTAATGGGTGGGATTAATGGGTTTGTGGGATTAATGGGTTTGTGGGATTAATGGGTTTGTTGGATTAATGGGTCTGTGGGATTAATGGGTTTGTTGTATTAATGGGTTTGTGGGATTAATGGGTTTGTGGGATTAATGGGTCTGTGGGATTAATGGCTGTGGGATTTAATGGGTCTGTGGAATAATGGGTTTGTGGGATTATGGGTCTGTGGTTTAATGGGTTTGTTGTATTAATGGGTTTGTGGGATTAATGAGTCTGTGGTATTAATGGGTGTGTGGGATTAATGAGTCTGTGGGATTAATGGGTTGTGGATTAATGGTCTGTAATTAATGGGTTTGTGGGATTAATGAAATGGGTTTGTGGGATGAATGGGTTTGTGGGATTAATGGGTTTGTGGATTAATGGTTTGTGGATTAATGGGTTTGTGTGGGATTAAATGGGTTTGTGGGATTAATGGGTTTGTGGGATTGGGGTTTGTGGATTAATGGTTTGTGGATTAATGGGTTTGTGGGATTAATGAGTCTGTGGGATTAATGGGTTTGTGGGATTAATGGGTTTGTGGGATTAATGGGTTTGTATTAATGGGGATTAATGGGTTTGTGGATTAATGAGTCTGTAATTAATGGGTTTGTGGGATTAATGAGTCTATGGGATTAATGGGTCTGTGATTAAATGGGTTTGTGGGATTAATGGGTCTGTGGGATTAATGATTAATGATTAATGGGTGGGATTAATGGGTTTGTGAGATTATTGGGTTTGTGGGATTAATGGGTTTGTGGGATTAATGGATTTGTGGGATTAATGGGTCTGTGGGGTTAATGGGTTTGTGGGATTAATTAATGGGTTGTGGGATTAATGAGTCTGTGGATTAATGGGTTTTGTGGGTTAATGAGTCTGTGGATTAATGGGTTTGTGGGATTAATGGTTGGTTGGGATTAATGCTGTGGATTATGAGTCTGTGGGATTAATTTTGTGGGGATTAATGGGTTTGGGGATTAATGGGTTTGTTGTTAATGGTAATTAATGGGTCTGTGGGATTAATGGTCCTGTGGGATTAATGGGTCTGTGGGGGTTTGTGGATTAAAGGGTTCTGTGGATAATGATTAATGGGTGGATTAATGAGTCTGTGGATAATATTAATGAGTCTGTGGATTTGGGTTTGTGGGATTATTGTGGATAATGGGTTTGTTGGGATTAATGGGTTTTGGGATTAAATTTGGGTTTGTGGATTAATGGGTTTGTGGGATTAATGGGTTTGTGGGATTAAATGGGTTTGTGGGATTGATGGTTTGTGGGATTAATGGGATTTGTGGATTAATGGGTTTGTGGATTAATGGTCTGTGGGATTAATGGGTTTGTGGGATTAATGGGTTTGTGGGATTAATGGGTTTGTGGGATTAATGGGTCTGTGGGATTAATGGGTTTGTGGGATTAATGAGTCTGTAGGATTAATGGGTTTGTGGATTAATGAGGTCTATGGATTAATGGGTCTGTGGAATTAATGGGTTTGTGGGATTAATGAGTCTGTGGGATTAATGGGTCTGTGGGGTTAATGGGTCTGTGGGATTAATGGGTCTGTGGGGTTAAAATGGTCTGTGGGATTAATTCTGTGGTTAATGGATGGGATTAATGGGTTTGTGGGATTAATGGGCGGTTAATGTGGTTTTCTTTGTTGGTGATGCTTGTGATTTGTTCTCGAGCTTACATTATTATATTGTTCATTGTTCTAATTTTAATTATCGGAATATTTGATAATATTCCTACATTTTTAGAACGCTTTTTTTTCTTTATGAAATAAGACTTATCTTGTTGAAGCATATATTTGATTGGGATTTGCAATATCTTTTTCCATTGATCAGTTAACCTGCTCACTTATTCATTAACATTTCAACCTGAATTCCCTCACAAAGAAGACTAATCAAAGTCACGATCTCTACACCCATTCATTACCCTAATCTAATTACAAAGTACATCGCGTCGTAACGTTGCGCCCCTATTTTTAAAACGTTTCTCTCTCCCCTCTCAAGGTATTAAAGCATGGGAAGAGAGTTAATTAGACATGCAGAAAACGTTTTCCAGGGTGAACTATTTTAATTGCTGGAAGGACCCTCGAGCCACAAACGTTTTCTAGTCTTTGTGGCGATGCGGAGAGAACGCCCACGTTTAATTATCTTAGTATTCTATTTAAAAAAAAGTACTAGGGTTTAGGGTGAAAGGAATTATATATTTTGTATTGTTCTTCTCCTTCTCTATCTTTATTGTCCATTTCTCTTTCGTACTCTACTTCTCTTT